ACGACCAAGTGCCGCTGCCCACATTTGGGAGACAGATGGCCACCATTCTTTTGTCTACCACGTGCGTTTGGTTATAGGAAATGGTGGCCACCCAGGGGAAGCATTCATTAATTACTTCCCTTGCGGCTTCACACTTAAGTTGGTGTGAATGTTCTAATGGGGTACAGGGCTGGTCCTCATTCGGGAGACGAATGGAAAGAGTTCGTAAATAGCAACTCCCAAACGGAAAAGGTAAACAACACACAAAAGGGGGCAAAATATACGAAACTGGTGGTAGGTTCCGCCACACTAGTTTATTGGATAAGGGAAGAATAAATGGAATTTTAGATGTACAGGAATTTAACTATTTGAATGTTTTACACCCCAAGATTCCTGTTATTTATTTCCTACTGAAAATACATAAAGATGAAAAAAATCCCCCAGGACGCCCTATAGTTTTGGGGATAGAGTCTAGTTTATCTAATCTTTCTGAGTTTGTGGACATTATGTTACAACCATACGTAAAAAAAAGTTAAATACTATTTAAAGGATACAATTGACCTCACAAATAAATTAAATAATATTAATTTTAATGAAAATTATTGGCTAATTAAAAGTGATGTACAATCATTGTACACAATCATTCTACATGAAAGGGGTTGCACTGCCGTAAAAAAATATTTTAGAAAAAAAATCACGATATACATACATCAAAAACAAATTATTTTTTATCTTGGAAGCAATAGAACTAATTTAAAAAAATAATTATTTTTGGTTTGGTCTCCAAAACACCGGCAAAGCTATGGGTACCAGGTTCGCACCCAGCTATGCAAACCTCTTCATGGCTGAGTGGGAGGACAGATCCATTTGTAGTGGGCATTGCTGGGTAGGGAACCTGGTCTCATATCTTAAATATATAGACAACTTTCTTTTTTTATGGAATAACCCAATTTCTGCTGCTCATGATTTTATTAATTTATTAAAAAATAACAATGAAGGAATAAAATTGACCGCCAAATTTTGTAACACTGAAATCACTTTTTTAGATTTGGATATTTACATCAATGATAATAATACACAAACCAAAACCCCTTTTAAGAAAGTTCATACAAATAATTTAATTGATGTAAATAGTTGTCATATTAAACTGTGGTTGGAAAGTGTTCAAAAAAGTCAGATATTAAGATTAAAGAGTAATTGCTCAAAGGTATCTGTTTTTAATGAACATGCAAAAAATATGAAATGTTATTTTTTAGAAAAAGGGTATAACCCAAATAATATTAATAATATTATTGAGCAAACCATGACTACTAACAGAGAGGACCTTTTCATACAAAAAACTAAAGATAAAAAAGATAATAAAGATTTCACCTTACCGATAGTACTTAATTACAGCAATAAAAGTAGACAAATTAAAGGAATATTAAGAAAACACTGGCATATTTTAAAAGAGGATAGTATTTTAAGTAAATTAATCCCTAAGAACCCAAAAAAATATTTTAGAGGAGCACTTAATTTAAAAATGACACTAAATAAGAATTTTACAAGAACAACAAACAAATAGACATTTTAACCCCTTCGCGACCGAGGACGGTTCAGGACCGTCATCGGCATTTTTGCCTTGCAGACCGATGACGGTCCTGAACCGTCCTAACGGTCAGAGGTACTTACCTGATCGTCGTCGTTCCCCCGGCGGCGATCAGCGTGTCTCCGGTTGTGGGGAGACTGCCTGCAGCCCAGACAGTCTCCCCACACTGAATTAGGACCCCTGGGGCCATGTGATCGCTCAACACAGTGATCACATGGTCACAATAGGTGTCCATGTGTCTGCCTGCAGGGGGACTGCCTGTGCTGACAGGCAGTCTCCCTGCTAGTGTAAAATCAGAAAAAAAAATAAAGTTAATGTTAATAAAAAAAATAAATAATAATTATATATGTGTATATATGATATATAGACATATATTATATCTATATAATATATGTCTATATATCATATTTATAATGCCATACTAAGTGTGTTTTTATATTAATATGTACTTATATTAATATAAAAATACACTTATAATTAAATTACACACGTATATATATATAATATATATAATAACTATATATATTGTATATATATATTATTATAAAATATAAATAATAAGTAATTTAAATTAAATAATTTTTTTAAAAATAATAATAAAAATTTAAAAAAAAATTATATATCTATATGAAATTTTATTCTAACTGTATTTTAAAATTAATATATATATATATTTATATCAAAATACACTTAGAATGAATTTGTATATATAAATAAATAAAAATAATATGAAATATACATGTCCATATACAAAATTACATAAATAATTATATAAATATACACGTAGACTTCAAATATATAAATATGCATATATATTTAAATTCTACGTGCGTATTTATGTAATATTTTTACATAATTCAGTAATTTTATTGATTGCAATTTGAAGGACCTGCCTGCCAACCCAGGCCGAAATTCCAGAGAATTTAATTTGCTAGCACTGTATTTTACCCTGTAACGTTCTACGACACCCTAAAACCTGTCCATGGGGGGTACTGTTTTACTCGGGAGACTTCGCTGAACACAAATATTAGTGATTCAAAACAGTAAAACATATCATAGCGATGATATTGTCAGTGAAAATGACTTTTTTTGCATTTTTCACACACAAACAGCACTTTTACTGATGATATAATTGTTGTGATACGTTTTCCAGTTTTAAACACTAATATTTGTGTTCAGCGATGTCTCCCGAGTAAAACAGTACCCCCCATGTACAGGTTTTATAGCATTTTTGAAAGTTACAAGGTCAAATATATGGGTCAAATATTTTTACATTGAAAATGGCCAGGTTGGTTACGTTGCCTTTGAGAGCATATAGTAGCCCAGGAATGAGAATTACCCCCATGATGGCATACCATTTGCAAAAGAAGACAACCCAAGGTATTGCAAATGGGGTATGTCCAGTCTTTTTTTAGTAACCACTTAGTCACAAACACTGGCCAAAATTAGCGTTCAATTTAGTTTTTTTTACTTTTTTCACACACAAACAAATATGAATGCTTACTTTGGCCAGTGTTTTCGACTAAGTGGCTACTAAAAAAGACTGGACATACCCCATATTGAATACCCTAGGTTGTCTACTTTAAAAAAAATATGTACATGTGGAGTGTTATTTAGAGATTTATGACAGATAATAGTGTTACAATGTCACTATTGATAAATTTTAAAAATGTATGTTTTGAAACCACAATATCCTACTTGTACCTATAGCCCTATAACATGCAAAAAAAAAGCAAAAAAGCACGTAAACACTGGGTATTTTTAAACTCAGGACAAAATTTTGAATCTATTCAGCAGTTTTTTTCATTCGCTTTTGTAGATGAGTAAAAGATTTTTCAAGTAAAAGTAAAAAAACATGTATTTTTTTCAATTTTTCATCATATTTTTTTATTTTTTTTTAAATTAAAATACATGAGTTTATATAAATAATGGTATGTAAAGAAAGCCCCTTTTGTCCTGAAAAAACAATATATAATTTGTATGGGAACAGTAAATGAGAAAGCGGAAAATTACAGCCAAACACAAACACCACAAAAGTGTAAAAATATGCCTGGTCGCAAATGTACAACATCGCAAAAAAGGTCCAGTCCTTAAGGGGTTAATGTCAAAAAGGGCTTCTATAGATGCAATTGCTGCATCACTTGTAAAAAAAAAAAAAACTCACAAAATGAATAAAAATATTCAAAATTTCAAATCAAATAATTGTGATAAAACCTATGAAACAATATCACAACATGCAACACCTGCAATGTGATTTACTTAATAAAGGGCCCATGTGAATTGTCTAAATATACAAAAACAACATAAAAATAATTTTGTTTCTTCACACTTTAATATCCATAAGAATAACCCAAGCAAATTAAAGTTTATGGGGATAGTTGCACTAAAAAAAATCATTGGAGAGTCCTAGTCAAAAAAACTAGGTCAAATAGAAATTAAATGGGTATACTACCTAAACACCCTACACCCTAATAGACTCAACACAGAATTCGATTTATTCAATTGTTATAAATCTTTTATGTATTTTAAATTATTTATTTTCAATTACTCACTGTTTAATATCCATATTTGTATTTTTATGCTGCATTGACCCCATCCTTGATATATCTGTATTACCCAGCAAGCTACACATATTATCTGAACATGAATACCGCACTCTATGCATTAATTATGCATGCGAGGGAAAAATCACAACTTAGTTTGTGAAAAAATTAATTTATTAATTAATAACCCAGTGTAATTCAAAAAGTTACTCCAGTTAATTGGTGACCTTATCCTAAATTGATATATCATACACATTGAGAAAATTCATAATATATACACAATATTAACCACCACTGGCCATCCCTTCATAATCTCATATATCATACACCAAGCACAAGTTCATAGTATGTCCATAACATACAGGGCAATGCACAATAAAGAAATTAAAGCTAAGTATGATATATCAACTTAGGATAAGGTACTCAATCAAGTATATTTGTTTTATTTGTGACTCAGCATATGGGCTACCTTGTGTTCAGGGGCGGACTGAGAGCCTTTGGGGCCCCCGGGCAAAATTAGAACCCAGGCCCTTTGAAGGCCAAATATATGTGCATTAAATAAATGTTAAATATAACTCATAATACGGCATTCCTTTGGATGTGTATATTGTGAAGACCTGTGTATCAATGCATGTTTGTATTTGAGTCTGTTTGAATGCACTTGTGCATGTCTGGATGACTACATGTGCTTTTTTGTATATAGTGTCTGTGTGAATGCATATGTGACAGGTGACAGAGTGTGTGAGGGAGAAGGTGACAGGTGGAAGAGTGTGGGAGGTTGTGACAGGTGGCAGAGTGAGGGGGTACCTGGTGGCAGAGTGAAGGAGGGGTTGAGTGGTGGCAGAGTGAGGGGGAGACACAGTGAGTGGGGGTGACTGATGACAGAGTGAGGGAGTGGATGACTAGTGACAGAGGGAGGGAGAGGGGGTGACTAGTGACAGAGATAGGGAATGGGTGACTAGTGGCAGAGTGAGGGAGGGAGGGAAGAGATGACTAGTGGCAGAGTGAGGGGATGACTGGGGACAGAGGGAGGTAGTGACTCTGTCACTAGTCACTCCCTACCTAACTCTGTCACTGTCACCCCCTCACTCATTCTGTCACTAATCACCCCCACAGTCCCTAGTCACCCCCTTCCTCACTCTGTCACTAGTCACCCCATCCCTCTCTCTGTCACTAGTCACCCCATCCCTCTCTCTGTCACTACTCTCTCCCTCCCTAACTCTGTCACTGTGAAGGAAGGAAGGGGTGACTGGTGACAGAGTGAGGGGATGACTGGTGACAGAGTGAGGGAAGGGATGACTAGTGGCAGAGGGAAGGAAGGTATGACTGGTGACAGAGTAGGGAATTAAGACAGAGTGAGACAGTGAAAGAGACAGAGGACATTAGTGACAGAGGAGGGTGACAGGAAGGTGAGAGTAGGAGGGGTGACAGTGAAGGCAGGTGACTGTCACTAGTCACCCCATCCCTCCCTCCCTGGACACTCAATCACCACACCTCCCTCACTCTCTGCTGTCACTAGTCACCCTTTCCCTCCCTCCCCGTCACTAGTCACCCTCCCTCTCTCTGTCACTAGTGACACCCTCCCTCACTCTGTCACTAGTCACCCCCTCCCTCACTGTCACTAGTCACCCCCTCCCTCTCTCTGTCACTAATCACACCCTCCCTCTCTCTGTCACTAGTCACCCCCTCCCTCACTCTTTCACTAGAGTGAGGGGGTGACTAGTGACAGAGTGAGGGGGGTGACTAGTGACAGAGTGAGGGGGGTGACAGGTGACAGAGTGAGGGAAGGGGGGACTAGTGACAGAGGGAAGGAAGGGGTGACTAGTATAGAGTGAGGGGATGATCAGACAGAGGGAGGGGGTGACACAGTGACAGAGTGAGGGAGGTGGTGACTGTCACTAGTCACTAGTCACCACCTCCCTCACTCTGTCACTAGTCACCTCTCCCTCTGTCAGTCACCCCCTTCCTCACTCTGTCACTAGTCACCCCTTCCCTCCCTAACTCTCTGTCACTAGTCACCCCCTCCCTCTCTCTGTCACTAGTCACCCCCTCCCTCTCACTGTCACTAGTCACACCGCCCTCTCTCTGTCACTAGAGTGAAGGGGTGACAGGTGACAGAGTGAGGGAAGGGGTGACTAGTGACAGAGTGAGGGGATGACTGGTGACAAAGTGAGGGGATGACTGGTGACAGAGTGAGGGAGGTGGTGACTAGTGACAAAGTGAGGGAGGTGGTGACTGTCACTAGTCACTAGTCACAACCTCCCTCACTCTGTCCCTAATCACCCCCTTCCTCACTCTGTCACTAGTCACCCCTTCCCTCCCTAACTCTGTCACTAGTCACGACTTCCCTCCCTCACTCTGTCACTAGTCACCCCCTTCCTCACTCTGTCACTAGAGTGAGGGGGTTGTAACGGATCACCTGGCACCCCGACTGGGTACCTCCGTTAAAGGATGCTCCTAGTATTTCCTGAGGACTCCAAGCACTCTGGCAGACACCACAATCACCGAACCAGAGAAGCGTATACCTTCTCTCAAGCATATGAATGCTGTAGACAGTTGAATAGGAACCATACGAATAGGTTTACTCTCCTAGCAGTCAAACTGGAACAGCATACAATAAATCCTTCCCCCAATAATGAGACGACACTTCACTTTGAGGGTTAAACAGGAACTCCTGTGCTGGCACACCCAGCCTGGTTTTAATTACAGCCTTTCACATACAGGACCGCCCACAGGGAGGTATAAAACAACCAATCACATATCAGTTACATCCCACATATTCCCTCCCCTTATCCTGAGAGGAAACTCAATTACACATACAGTTAAAACATACTTTCTACCCTACTTTCATAACTTTAAAACCATACATCACATTCACATAAAATTACATATTCACAATCAATCCATTCAGGGGAACAACATATTACAAAATGGCATGAATCCGACCAGGGGTTCAAAAGTTAGTAAAAGTATCTTTTGGGCCCTGGCTGGCACATGGATATCTGGCTCAAACAGGTTTTACAGAGCCCTCTATCCTGGAGACAATGGGGGAAAGTAATCCAATTATCCAGGGATAGAGGCAGACTCCATTGAGCACATGGTTGCAAAAAGACATAAAACACTTTAAATACATAAAGTCACCTTTTACACATAACACCCAGACATTTCACATATCCCCAGATAGCTGGGATCTGAGCGCACAAAACTACCGAATAGCGCTCAGATCCTATTCACACAGTTCAATTGCCATGGAGCCGAAGTCTTTAACTACACGAATGGGCTCCATGGCATAGCTATCTGGGTTAACACATTCACATAAAGTCTGGTCCATAGTCCAAAGGCAAGAGACGGGCAAGCAGCCCCCTCCAAGGACACGTGGCGAGGTTGGTTTCGCCACAGGGGTGACTAGTGACAGAGTGAGGGAAGGGGTGACTAGTGGCAGAGTGAGGGAAGGAAGGGGTGACTAGTGACAGAGTGAGGAAGGGGGTGACTAGGGACAGAGTGAGGGAGGTTGTGACTAGTGATTAGTGACAGTCACCACCTCCCTCACTCTGTCACTAGTCACCACCTCCCTCACTCTGTCACTAGAGTGACTGGGTGACTAGTGACACAGTGAGGGAGGGGATGACCAGTGACAGAGGGAGGGGGAGACTAGTGACAGAGTGAGGGAGGGGGACAAGTGACACAGTGGGGGGGTGACTAGTGACACAGTGGGGGGTGACTAGTGACACAGTGAGGGGTGTGACTAGTGACACAGTGACTAGTGACAGTGGGGGGTTGACTAGTGACACAGTGAGGGGTGTGACTAGTGACACAGTGAGGGGGGGTGACTAGTGACAAGGGGGTGACTAGTGACACAGTGGGGGTGACTAGTGACACGGGGGGGTGATTAGTGACAGTGAGGGAGGGTGACTAGTGACAGTGAGGGGTGACTAGTGACACAGTGAGGGAGTCATCCCCCTCACTGTGTCACTAGTCACCCCCCACTGTGTCACTAGTCACCCCCCCACTATGTCACTAGTCACCCCCCTCACTGTGTCAATAGTCACCCCCACTGTCACTAGTCACCCCACTGTGTCACTAGTGGGGGTGACTAGTGACACAGAGGGGGGTGACTAGTGACACAGTGGGGTGACTAGTGACAGTGGGGGTGACTAGTGACACAGTGAGGGGGGTGACTAGTG